TAAAGTAATTTTCCCACGGCACACCTTACACTATGTCACGGCACACTAGTGTGCCGCGGCACAGTGGTTGAAAAACACTGGTATACATAGCACTTCCTTATACAATTTTCCCTGGCAACCACCTTGTGAAGTGGGTTGCACCAAGAAAGAGTAACTGGCCTAATCACCAAGCAGGTTTCCATGGCTAAAGATGGATTTGAATCTAGATCTATCTTAGTCCCTTAGTATTAAAGGTGTATTTATTGACAATGTAACAATTAAAAACAGTTTCAAAGTACGAAGTACAGCGGAAGTAGAATTATATGCTCTTTTGATTCTATGTTCCTAAAATATTTCAGCAGTAAATATTGGTTATGCAACTGGATGAAAGGGCAGAGGACCTCAGGGCTAGAAACTGGGATTTTATGAGTTTTAATTCTATTTTTCAGAACGGCAACAGGGTGACCTTGGGCCAGTCACTCTTTTCCAGAAGGCAACAACAAGCACTTCAAAAATTTTGCCAAGAAAACTATATAAGTATCAGAAATCAACATTGATTTGAACATACCAAATAAATAGTCAGTGTCTTTGAATCAAGGTTGATTCCTAACGGTAATCCCTCTCATTGAACAGCCATGACACCATAATAACTTGAGTAGAAAAATGTCTTCAGATTTATTTTCACAAATGAGGACAAATGGCATCTAAATTATTTATGGAATCTACTTAGGAGAAATTACTTATAGCTTAAGTGAAATGGACATTAATCACTTGCATCTTCCAATCAATCAGTTAAAATTTTTGCTGCTATTTGGCTGCTTTTGAGATATATTAGTTCCATTCCATTCTTCCTTCTGCCTGCCAACATTTTTGTTCTTCCTCTCATCTTCGTCCCATGTAATTATTTAGCATTCTATGCCCACTGAAATTAGAATTCTAAATAGTCACATGATGAAGAAGGTATGCCTGTTCAAAACAAACCTCAGCTTTTAATAAACCATTGATCTAATAAAATGTTAGGTTTCACCACATGATGACTGCATGTTTACAAACCTTGTAAATCGACCACCACATCTGTGCCTTGGGAAAATTCATAGCAGAAATGACCATATGCAAGTCCATATTCTGTGGCTTTGTACTCCAACTTTACTACACTGGTGTTATTGGATAACTTCACAAATTCTCCTAGAATGTAGGGTTCCACAGTTACACATCCTTGGATAGACTTGCCTTCTAGTATCTGAAAAAGAAATAAGAGAGTTACAATATGAACAGTATAGATACTGTCCACTATTTTCATGAGGACATTTCTCCCTTGTCTTCTGCTGAATTCCTTATAGCTTTTTGTTTTCTCCTTACCAAGAGTACCACTGATGGGATGTAAAAGATTTGTGTAGAGATTTTTTGCTCATACAGTCTTTTGTTGAATTCTGTCACATAGTATTGAGCTGTCATTTGCCGTTCCACATCATTGAAATGGTACATAATCTCTTTTTCTTCTTTGTATTCTTTGCCAACATACCTAGGGATATTGTAACACACGACACAAATGATATTCTCCAATTACTGGGACTAATATAACACATACCACAGTAATAATTCATGTTTATTTAGAAAATGTGTCCATTGCTCTTCTCCAATAGCAGCTTAGGTGTGACATGAATATATATATTTAATATAAACACATTAAATATGGTCTAGGCAGAATGACCCTATGAATAACCTGGAAGATCTTCCATAGCTGAGGAATCACTATCTTATAAGTCAGTCTGGGTTCATAGTAGAAAAGGTTCTGAATCTCCTTCTGTTTTCCTTTATTTTCCCCTCCACTTTTTAATTATACTTTATTTTGCAAAAGAAGGAAAAATGCTTTATGACTGATACAAGTTTTCCTTATGTTTGGAAAGTGCCTAATAAAATAGGGATATAATCATGCAATTGATGGGCTATTGGAATAGAAGTGGGAAGAGGGCAAAGGTCTTCATGAAAAACATTGATAATATTGAAGGAAGCCTTGTACAGGAAGAACTGTAGAGGAGGAGATTCATGACAAAATAATCGCTGGAAGTTCCCCACCCCCAGGATTCAGGTTGACCCAGGATATCTGCTATCTTAATGTTACCCTTTCCCTAATTCAACTTCAGAAGCAACCTGGTCAGGTACCTGAAATTCATCCTTTGATAATATGGGTACTCAATACATGTGAGTACTTCAGGTCAGCAATGATTTTACTGCTGGGGAATTCTGGAAATTGAAAACGAAGTCTATAATCTAGAGCTGTGATGGTGAACCTATGGCATGCGTGCCCCAGGTGGCACCTGGAGCCACATCTCCCTGCACACGAGCCATCAGCTGATTTTCAGCCATCCAGAGGGCTGGGGGAGGCCGTTTTTGCCCTTTCCAAGCTTCAGGAAAGCCCCCAAAGCCTGGGGAGGGCAAAAAACAGACCCAATGGGAAAAGTTCTGATAGGAGGCTTTCCTAGAGCCTGGGGAGGGCAAAAATAGCCTTCCCCAGGCCCCCAGAGGAAATACCAAGCTCAGCTTGGAGGTGAGCAGTGTGACGTGCATGGGGAGGGGAATGTGAGGCGGGGGTTGTGCGTGCATGCGCATGTGGGGGTGGGGGCTTTGCATTATGGGTGCCGGCACACACGTGCTCACATTTTTGGCACCAAACAAAAAGGTTAGCCATCATTGATTTAGAAGGTACTCAGATTGGGAAAGGTTATCTCAGGAAGCAGATGTGGGAATCAAGTAGCGCCAGACTGCTTAGATTGTGTTGCATTTGCCACTTATCCTAGCCTGCTAAAATAGCCTCCACAATGGTGGAATACTTTACAAAGGCTGAAGTAAGATTCTGCTACCAGGAGTCCTATATGTAGTCAAATGCAACACAATATGGAGCTTGCGTGAACTTTTCCAGATCATATATTAGGTTGAGTCATACCTTCCCAGGGTTTCTTCTTGGTGCAGAAAGTGCATCCAAAAAGCATTCCTCTGCTTGCCTTTCTTTGCCACACTCAAGTTATCTCCAATATATGCAGCTGTTTCCTGAGCTGTCCACAGGCCAGATATCTTAGAATATTTCAAAAGAAGAGCATCTAGAGAAAAAAATGGATGAAGTGACAGAGTTACAGTATGTCACATATACTTTCGCAACCTGATTTGTACTGCAGCATAGCGCTATCAGCCTCACATGTGCACAGAAAAGCAAAACAAGATGAATTGCTTTGGACTGAGAAGTTATTTCTCAATAATATCTTGCTGATGACGACAGACGTATAAACAATTACGGTCATGCCCTTCAACCAAGTATATTGTATTGTATATGATAACCACAAAAACACTAAAATCAAATGATTCTGCAGCAGATACAGAACTTTAATTGAAATATATGTATATCAGTATTTAGATTCTGCCTCTTATTAAATCATTAACAGATTCTTTACATCTTACGTTTTAAGAATATAAATATGATACAAAATCCAGAATGACAATTGTAACAAACATAATAGCAAGATCTGAATTCATAAGTCTTGATCTTTTCCTAACTTCTGCAGCCTCATTTTTTCCCCTTTATTTTTAAATGAAAAATACATTTTATTCAATTTCACATCAACATTTTGATGAAATTCGCATTGGCAGGGTATGAAGCTTGTGTGTTTAATTAGCTTCAATATAGCCATAGGGCGAGTATTATGCCCTTCACTGTACTACCCTCTTTCCAGCAATGGACTACAAGATTCTATAGAACCATCTGACTCCAGCAGTCATAGAACTTCTGTACGTGTGGTCAGTTGCAGCTTTGAGGAAGAAACAAGAAAGGAATAGCCTAACGGCATTCTGTGTGGTAACATGGAGAGAATAGTGTTAATTGCATCATTCCCCCAAATAATTATGCGATTGGTTTGACATAACATGCAGGCTGTTACCACATTTGCTCTGGTACAGACAGTTGTACTACAGGATATATCTTGGATTTTGATATTCATGCATTAAGATAGAAATTGGAAGAAAAGAAGAAATACAAATTCAGAATGAGGCTAGACAATATTGACTGATATTTATTCCTCAAAATTTGGTGGTAAATATGTAAAACAAATAAGTATAGTGCTCACCGCTGGCCATAGCATCCAGCCCTACTGAGCTTCTGATCTCAAACAGGGTGGATGAGCTGGTAACACTACCATGAGTCAAATGGTCCAAATTTATAAATCAGTATGAAAATGCCAGGATGCAACCAACTTCTGCCTCTGAAAATAGCATAGATTTACTGGGATCAAAATTCCTGGAGCAAAGATAGTAGTTTAGAAAATGTGACTTACGGTGTGTTTTATGAAGGAGGTTTGGTTTAAAGACCCCTGTATTCTTCATTCTCTCAACTAGCCAAGAATGTTCAACACCCGAAAACAGCTTGTTATAATCATCATTACTCAGAGTACGAGCTTGTTGCATTTGTTCTTTGACCATGCTAATAAAGGAAAAAGAGCTTCCGCTAGAATTCATTAAGGGAGAACTTCCCAGTTTAGAAAAACTACTGGAAAAACTGGGTCCTTTGTACCATGATTTCAGAGAGCTTGAGCTGTGGCTGCTGTTTAAAATGACCCCCACATTTTCACCTTCATCTTCTTCAGTTGTAGCACAGTCACTAGAATGATTTGAAACCTGCTTGTTGCCCGATCCTAATAAATCACTTGGGGTCTCAGTCCTGTGATTTTGTGGATCTTTTATTATACCTTCATTAGTACAATGGTCTGTTAACTCTCTTCTATCATCAGAAACCAGTTCCCAGTCATCTTCTGTTTGTGTTTTAACTTCAGATATTTTAGAGGAGGATCCTGTTAATGTCATATTGGCAGATTGGTTGATCCAATTTTGTACAAAAGGGTCACATTCAGCTTTAAATACATTGTTTCTTACAAAAACAGGTAATATCTGTTCACTGGGTAGATCTGGATTCATTAGTGAATCATCTGTCCCATCTTCTGTTTCTCCTTCTAAGTCAACAATTTGCCAATGATTTCTACTTATTGGGCCTGAATCTCGTGTATGGTTTGCATTGTCTTCGATGCTTCCTTTTCCAATACTAGAAATAGTAACATTGCTGCTGTCCTTGGTTCTGGCAACCTTCCCTGAAGAAATTATTCCAAAAGGATCTTTTTCAGATGTAAAACTCATTACTCTATCTTGTTTGGAGTTGCTGCTACTAGCTCTGCTGGGTGACTGTTTTGAAGCATCCACTCCTGCCTCCATATGCTTCTTTCTTAAATTTGGGTCCAATTCTTTTGGTGTATTAGTGAAAGGTATGCTTTTTGGAAAGGGATGCTTTAAAGAACCTGTGTCATTTTGAGAGTGTTGAAGTGTGATTTTGTGTATTTTATTAGTTAATAAACAAAGATTACTTTCTTGAATTTTCTTTTCAATATCTCCAGGCAACTCCATAGTATTCTTTGCCTTCTGCACCTTATCTTGGGGTAGATCTTTTTTATTATTGACAATTTCTTCCCAACTAGTATTAGAGCTTGATCTGGACAATTTGCTCCAAGTTCCCAGTTCACTAAAGACTTTATTCCCACTTTGGGAATCAACTGAAACCTCACCAGCTTTCTTTTGATTATCAGAAGTTTCACTTTCTGTCTGTTCATCAAGAGAAACCCTCCTTGTAACAATGCGAGAAATTTTCTTTCCCGTTTGGTCTTTAAGGCCATCGTGTGTTTTCCCTGCTTTCTGTGAAACTGGGATTGGTACACTCTGATTTTCACAATGACAATTTGCTTCAGTATCCATATTTCTGGTTTCGGTCTTCAAAGTTGTTATACAGGCTCTTGCCTTCCCTTTTCCTGGTCTAATTTTATGATTTCTGCAAGTACTTTCAAAAACATCACAGACTGATTCATGATGCTGAAAATACATTCTGAGAACCTCCACAAAGCTCAAATCACCATTCAGAACCTGTTTTTTGACATCCGTTTTATAGCTATCAGGAATGTAGGATTTGGCATCTGAATTAGGAAAATTTTGTACTTGCAATTGTTCTTTAACCGACATGACCAGGGACATAATGTCTTTAGCAAGCAGTTCTTTTTCCTGCTCTTCATTTTGAAGTGAATAACTGTAAGCATAAAGCTTCTCCAAAGCTTCCTGGCACAACTGATTCACCTGATTAAGGCCCTTGCTTTCTCCATACAGCCGCTGGTGTACTTTGGCAAGGGAGAAAGCTGCTTTGATAAAACTGTGAAGCTCCTGTTTGCTGGTGACTAGTTCTTTGTCCTTCTTGCTCAATAAACCAATTTCAAAGGATTCCTTTGCTTGTGATAAATAAAATGCTTGCTTTTCTGGAGGACATGAACTTGAACAGCTGTAAGTTAGCAAACACATTCCCCGGATATTCTGAAAAATAAGTATAGTGGGAATGAATAGGATTTGTCAAATTCGTGGGTCAATATAGGTGTCAAGTCCCTTAAAAATCTATTCCACCATGTAATCACAATTGTTTTCAATTTTCAGTTGATTATAGTTTCTACCTTTAGTGAAATATTATTATTAGTTTTATTTTAACATACATTTATTTAGCATAACATTTTAAATCACTGCTCATCTTTGTAGAAAATGGGGGAACTTAGAGGAATACACTAAAAACACCTCAAAACCATTAAAAGAACATAATCAGTCTCAAGCAAGAATGGATATAATTACAACAGAAACAGATAAAACATCCAAATGAAAGATACAAAACATCCAAATTAACTCAACCAATTTTGTTAGCTACCCAGAGTCACTTAGATATAATTGGTAGTGTAAACATGTGATGAATGAATGAATGAATAAATAAATTACATACGGGAATTATAGCCTTGAAATGAGAAAGAAACCACATTTTCTACTCCAGCATCAAGTAAAGCAAGATTAATAATCTTGTTAGGATCCTAATATATCAGTAGTTGACAAAGACCACTGTAAAGAGTTTTCAGAGTGGAAGAAAATAGGAATGCTGAACATGGTACTTACAACTGCAGTGAGCACAAACAATGGTGTGAACTGACTCAAGATTGCAGCCAGCTTGCAAGCTTCGGCAGCTGAAAGTAAACGATGATCGAATTCTTTAAGAAGGTTCTAATAAAATAACAAATGGACGTTGAAAGATACTTGTTTTGACAGTTTTAAATGCATTTTTATATGACATAGACTCAATTGCATCTCTTGATTGAGAGACAGTGTATGATAAAAAGAATAGGCTTGAATTACAAACTATTTGTTTGATAAATGTGCCAAAAGCAGTATATGATAGCATATGTAATGATAGCATGTGTAATGATAAATGGAATTCTTACAGAATGGCTCAATAGCAAACTGAAATAATACAAATGGGTGTAATATCATCTTATTTGCTTAATGTATATTTGGTCAAATAAATAAGGAATGGCGAAAGTATGCTGGATGGGATGATACATTAATGTATCTGTATATCAGTAAACAAAAAATATCCTGTAGATTCCTGACAGTCCAAATAATTTAGCGAATGTAATGTAAGTGTGTCTGATGCAATCAGAAATATAGATTTCAAAAATAAATTTATTAAATTTACTTGCATTTGAATTGGAAAATTGTAAAGTATACATAACTGGTAATAACTGGAGCAAGTATGTTTTTATTTTTACATTAACATTTAAAATAAATGAAAAAATGAATGGATTTTGAATAATGAAAATGTTTGTAGAAAGAGAGCGGATACTGTGTGGCTGGTTAAAATAAGTGAAAAATAGCTATAGTAACAGCCTGCCTACTTTGTTGTACAGAAGGGGGAGTTGAGTACATGCAGATAAACAAGCTATATAACATATGGTCGTGAATGAATGAGTGATGCACAAATGTGACTTGAATACAAACATCAATAAATGATGTAAAAAAAAAGATGGGTCAAACAATGAAAATGATGAACTTCAAATACAAAACAAATATATGAAAGGTGAATGGGTTGAGAGGAAAGTGGGATGGAGTTACTGAAAGCCTTGAAAAGAAAGGTGAGAAAGAACAAAAGGCTAAATATGTGAACTATATGGATGCAGTAGAAACAAGAATGGTTAGCAAGGGAAGACAGCTATAAAGCGATATGATGAATGATGTTGATATATATTAGTATTAGCTAAGTTTACTTTTCTTTTTTCTTGTTCAATTCCTTTGATTTATATTGTTTATTCCTTTTCTGTACTCTGCACAATGAAAAGTATGTATGTATGAAAATTATTTAAAGCAGGTTCATCTCTGCTGTAAAAATAGTTACCAGGCCAAGCTGTGAATTGTTTTTAAATCTGATGTAATCTTCTTCACTCATGGATATAAAGATGTCTGCCAGAATACCCAGTGAGGTAGCTATTCCCTAAAAAAGAACACATATGAATATATATATTTATTTGGAGTTTGTTTCTATTTTAGGCTATTTCAAACATGTCAAAAGAAAGAAAAAATGACATCTAAGGCTCTTTATCTACCTAATTCTAGTGGGACAAGGAAAATCAACTTTTTTTTCACCAGTCAGGAAATTTTAAAATATATATTTCTGAAGAAAATTTACTTTTTTGTTGCAATAGATTTGCAACAATCTACATCCTTCCATTTGTGAGAAGATCTTATCATGAAGATTACAATAAATCTCGACAATATGAAGTACAGTAGTTGAACAAGATGAACTTTTAGACACTAGTAAATAATGAGAACAGTGATATTAGGTACTTGCAGGTTTTATGTCTGCTGAAACAACTCAAGATTAATTAGATATATCAATATTTTTTCCAGATTAGCAGTGACCTGAAGAATACTAATAAACTAACTCATATTGCAGATGTAAATATAGAAATAAGGAAATATATTTAAATTTCACAATTAATTCCCCATCCAAATCACCTGCTATGCTTCAATTATTCCAAATCAGTAATTTCTCTTCAATTAATTTACCTCTAATTAAATTTTCACACTGATCCTGTTCAAAATTAAATTTGCTATCAATTAATTATCCTTCATCTTAAACTAAATTGCTTTAAGGTATAAACTGTAGAATCATATTTTTGTGATGGTGGCAGCATATATATGCCTGCCTGTGTCAATGAATCCATGAGAGAAAGCATAAAGTGTCCTCATTCTTCTAGAGACTATTTCTTTCTTAGATACATGCATCTATATAAACCAGAGTCTCAAAACTTCTCACTTCACTTTTTAAGATCAGAAAAGAAAGACAAAACTGTCCCTTAGATGCCAATGGCTCAAGTACCAAGGGGCTTCAGAGAACACGGAATTTTGCTTCTTCAAAATATTTTTTTTTATGAAGCAGCCTGTTTCTTTGTAGTCATTTGAATGTATACAATCAATTATCAACATGTCCATTTTTAATATGAGCTTCTAATAAACACACAAAGTGCTCAAACATAGGGCACAACTGAGTAGGAAATATTCAAGGTGTCCAAAATACATTTATTACCTTCTTATCTGGCAGGGGAAGTGTAAAATAACCCAAAATTGAGGCCCAAATCAACTCTGCTGCTTCATACCACATCCCTAAAATACAACACACATAAACATATGTTCATTTTTAAAACATTTGTTTCATTTTTCAGAAAGAGTTTTGCTAGTGATGAATATTGGAGCCAGTTCACAAATTCTGATAATGACAAGGGTTGAACAAATACTGTCAATGAGTTTTTATTCATAATGTATTTGTTACCACTGTCAAGAAAGCCTATGAATTCATATTTATATATTTAAATATTAAATATGTATATATTTATATGAATATGTTCATCTATTTTTATCTCTATATTAAAAGACAGCAATTATATATCAACATAATGCAGAACAAACTGTGTATTAGAAATTATACCAAAACTTCATATTTTTGTTAAGAAATATTTTTTAGTATGAAAAACATTTACTTTAAGTAACATTTAAGGTTATTTGGTTTCTCAATGAATATCCATAGTAGTGGCTTCAAGTCAGTCCTGAGGCCTGGCAATGATGTGGTATCCATGAAGTTTTATTGGCAAATGTAGATAGTTTGCAATTGCCTACCTCCTACACCTGATAGGGAATGACAAATTCAAAATCAGGGGTATCAAACTTGCATCGTCATGTGATGTATCACGACTCCCCCCCCTTCGCTAAACATGGTATGGGCGTGGCCAGCAAGTGACACATCCAGCCTGCAGGAAACGAGTTTGACAGCCCTGCTCAAAATCATCCAGTTAACTTTGGTGCCTAAAGCAAGATTAGAACTCTACTCTCCCAGCTACTAATCCAATGTCTTTAATCACTACATTAGCTGGCTCTCAAGAGATCATTGATGTATTGTTATTAGTGTTATTAGGTGCAAATTATCTCCTTATTTATTTTTATAGATTGGGTTTTCCACCAAATTTGTCCACATGAAACAATTACTATGCAATCTATTCCAAAGTTATAGCCTTGGAACAGCATAAAAAGTGAGATTCTTGAATTTATCTAACAAACCTACCCAGTTTCTGTAGAATCTGTCCTCTGATCTGTATACAGACAGATTGAACAAGAATACGATCACTTTCTTTGCAGTACTTCCATACTCCTAAAAATTAAAAGGAAAAGGTCAGTAAAATATAATTCAGAGCTTTAAAGATGAGGAATAATAATAGGAAGACCAGAATTTAACACTTGGTTGAAATTAACAATCCTTGTTTTACAACTAGTTGTTTTTTAACTTAAGTTCTGGGAGACTTTCAAAGACATAAATACATTATTCTATATTTTATTTAATGACATATTTATCATTGGATATAACTACAATGGTAGTTGCTTATATTATATCTTTCTACAAAGACTCATTAATTAACACACACACACACACACACTACAGTTCTTCAGTGAGCTATTAAAAAAATGACGATACATTAAAATTGGTTCCCAATAGAGCTAACATGCAAGGTGAAACATGAAAAATTGAAGAAGTAAAACCAAAATGAAGTTTTTCTCCCAATGAATAAATTTATAATTTAAGGAACACGCATCCAAAATTATTTGCATATCCCAGTGAAAGCTATAACTAGCAATAACAGGAATATATCAATTAAAATGGAAAGAAGTATAAAAACCACAATTTATTTACCTGTTGCTCCATTGTCAATAATAAGACTGCTAAGAATATATTCAGCCTTCAATAATTTACCTAGAAATATTAAATATTTTTGTTATTATCAACATGATAGGGCAATATCATTTCATGAGTAATGTTCCTTTAGTTCAGGGCTGTCAAACTCCTAGCCCGTGGGCCAGATTCGACACCCACTGGTCACTCCCACCCCCGGTTTAGCGAAGGGGAAAAAGTCCCAATATGTCACATGACGCCACCATGATGACATGAGTTTGACACCCCTGCTTTAGTTGAAATGATCATCAGGGTGAATTCTACCTGCATTACTTCACATTCTTGTGGTAATGATTTCTCACCATGCTTGACTAATTATAGGCTTTCTTTTAAATAACTGTAGCTTCCCTTTAGTGAAAAATGGCATATGGGGATCTACTTGTTAACCTGGGCTGTAGTGTCTTGTTATCATGATCAGGACCCACCTTAAATTAGGCTGTGACTAAGCAGCAGCCTTGGTTAAAGACTGCTTGATATGATGGCCTCAGTCTCACTCAGCTAAAGCTGCAATTTATTAAGCCCTATTGAAGACAATATATTAAACAATGAGACAATGCACAGCCTTGGAATGCTTAGTTGTGTGTGTGTGTGTGTGTAGGGCCAGATTCATCCAAACAAATATTTTGCTCTATTGAGGTTTTATGCTTTTGATATGCTACTTTGACGGACATTGAATTAAAAGAATGAACAGAGACCTATCCCTCTGTTTTTTTTGACATATCTATTTTTCAGATTTGCCGTGAGAATACTAGAAAGCTTAATATTTCTGCTTGTATTGTGTTGAAATGAAGTTATTAAAAAGATTATAATTTCATTATCCTTTACCAAACTGCTGAAAACAAAGATTTCATTTTCTTCTTACAATAATCCTTTTCCAAAAATAAAGAACCAGAGTGATGTAGTGGTTTAGGTTCTGGCCTAGAAAATAGGAGACAGAGTTCTAGTCTCGCCTTAGGCATAAAAGCCAGCTAGATGACTTTGGGTCAGTCATCTCTCTCATCCCAACTCACCTCTTATTTTTGGAAAAAAGTGGAGGAGGAGAAAAGTGTATTATGTACCGTATTTTCACGACCATAAGCCGCACTAAAAATCCCAAATTTTGATCCAAAATCGGCAGTGCGGCTTAT